AAAAAATGTCAATTGTGGAAAAGGGTCTCATTGTTATCTATGTTTTATTTCGAGTTCGGTTATTTCACCTCGAGCCACGAAGTGCCGCTGGGAATTCACCGCATGTGTACTGTACGTCGGATCTCGGATGCTTGTCAGAGATTCTCTAGGTCAGTTCGGTGAGCCATACGTGGGTCCATCGGTCGATCGCACGGCCTTAAAGAAGGGGACTGGGGATTGTATGAGGAAGGAAGGGTCGCGCGTGGTTCACGCCCCAAATTATAGGGGCTGCTAAGGCATTCGCCTGGATGCGATAGTGAAAATCACTGATCAGAGCAGTTGGACTGGATCAATAATGGCAGGCACCGCCAACTGGCCCATGTTAAACACTTCAAGCGAATTTCCGGCACTTGACGTGGACATGACTTGTTGCAAATTTCAGGCACTTAATGTGTCGAACCTGCGACCTCCCACTGTGTAGTACGCTTGGGAGGTAAAGCATTACCCGAACGGGCCCCGCTCTGGGCATTGGCGCTTATCAAAGATAGGTATTCTTAGTTAAATATCCATTTTTGATCTCTGAATTCTCAACAATTTCCCAAGCCAACAAAATTCAACCATCAGAGGAAAGTTATATGAATGTACCATTAAATGGGTTCAATTCCCGTTGAAGTTCTGTTACATTTCGTAACAACGTAATATTAGATAGCTACCTTCTGACGTCGAACGTTTTGGAGTAATCCTATAGTCTAGTCAGTGATCGACAGTCATAGTCCTGTTATCTCTTCGGCTAGGAACTCGGCGCCATTAGTTGCCGGGCTTTCCAAACGGTCACCCAACAAGGAACCCGCTATGTCTCGCATCGCTTGACCTCCGTGATTACCCGGAGCGTAGAACCGGACTTCGGCTATCGAGACCGCCGTTGACTTCCAACCGCAAAAACCAAGAGTTTTCGGCTGAGCCTACCTGCGGGCTCGGAGATCCTCGCGTAGCCGCACACCGAATCCACGACGAAGGCGTAGGAGCTGGTGAACTGGAAGCCCTGCATGTTCCAGCTGTAGTGCGCCACGGAGTACACGAGGCGCATAGGCGACCAACTGCGCACGCTCACGGGCAGCCACTGTTGCTGCGCACACAATGTAGCGATGGATGTCTCTCTCTTACGTGCTCATGGCCAGTGGTGAGAAAAAAACTGATTTGAACCTCAAAAAATGCCATTCTTATTAAAAGGAATTATCGAGTGTTTACCATCAGTGTATGCCATGCTAGATAAAACTGTTTTTACTTCATACGTCAAATATACATACTGTGTGAATGTGTATATTACATATTTCTATGACAACTGGCACTAGGAGTACATATTAAACGTACTGGAAACGTTTTGGTGAAAGTTCACGCACAGAAATAAATGAAAAATAACAGATTCAATCATCCAAAGTACTGAAAATAGGGACTATGGGTTCGTAGGCTTTCGCGGCCGGAGTCAACGCATTCTTGGCTCTCCGGGATGAGCCGGATCTCGGTCAATTGTACTGACGTTTCGGCCATCTTGCTCTCGCCTTCTTCAGAGCTATACTGCTGAGTGCTACAGCAGTATAGCTCTGAAGAAAGTCACAGCAAGATGGCTGAAACGTCCGCACAATTGACAGAGACGCAACTCATCCCGGATAGCCAAGAATGCAAAATAGGGACTGTCTTTTGAAAATGTCTTATTTCTTTTGTTGTTGAAGAAAAAAAATATAATACTATTTATGGAGAATTTTTTTTTGAAACTTTTTCATGCTAAATATTTAGATTTACTGCCTGAAGCACGTTTTTTTTGTCTTTCAAGAAATTTTATTTTCTGCAGAAGTTAAGCTACATACAAAGTAGACAAGGTCACCTAAAAGTTATAGAAATATAGTCACCTGGAAATCTCCACAGAGGCAAGATAGCACTTGACCTTGATCAGTAATGATGGCCAAGTGG